TCCGGCGAGCGGACAATGAAAGCCCACAAAATCCCTCTGGAGTTGCGATCTCTCCTGCAGGATAATATCATCCTATCGAGCTTCTTGTCGAGAGAAAGAGGAGAGAGGGAGAGATTCTCACCGTTGGAGAGAATCGCCGTATCGGAGACCATCCTTGTCGCTAGTTAGAAGGGTATTTATTTCGAGATAAAGCTCGTCACAGTTTCAGAAATACCGTCCGATCTCAAATTTTATTTCTTTTCTTATCTTTTTTTTTTTTTTTCCATCCTTTGTCGTTTCACTCTTTACCCAATTTCATTTTTTCTTCCTTTTAATATCCTTCCTTCTTTTTAGAAATTAATCATACACTCACGATTAATCACCATGTTTTATCACCGTCGTGACGCGTTATTATATACTTTAAAAATCTGAAAGAGTCGGTCGATTCTACCGCCTAGGGACTCGAATTCGAGACTTTTAACAGCTCCGATACACCGTTTACTTCGCCGTAAAGTTTCTCCAACCATCACATTAGAAGCGCTCCTTGGAAGAAGTTATCCTCCCGGAAAGCGAGTAGCTTCTCTCTATCTCCGTTCTCGTTTCATTACCCTTTTTCCCATCAATTATATCATTGTTCCATCGCATAAACCTGTTTTCTTTTTTTTTTTTTCCTTTCCTTTCTCCCTTCGTAAATAGATTTGCAAAGAGCAATTCCCCGATCTTCCCACTTTTCTCCAACTTTGTTTTCCCCCTTCAACCCCCGCTCCCTCCATGCTTGTTTCGCGTAACTCTATCTCCGCGTGATTGATGGCCCCCGTCAACTCGTGATCTATCGCGTTAATCACGGGATACCTCGTTTCATCTTTTTTCTTCTTCTTTCCACCGGTCGTTAAACGGATTGCTGCTGCTATATATATATCGAAGAATCTCGTCGTTGTCTTAATCTTCTCCCCGTTTTGATTTATCGTTCCTCCCTCTTCCCCTCCTTATCCTTATAACAAACGAGGCGAATTCTCATCGCATCTTAACCTCTTCATCGACAAGCTTCTCTCTCTCTCTCTCTTTCATATATTTTCCATTCTTTTTCTCTTACTCTCTTTTCGTTTCTTTTCATTTTTTACGCATCCGAAGTATATACTTTCTCGAAGTATATAATTTCCTCGAGTCAAAATAGAAGGAAAGACGAAAAGGAAACGCGTGCACGAAAGGGAAAAGGGGGAGGGTAAGGATATTTGTTGTCAATAATCGTGACGGGCGTGGCATATGCGATATATTTGCATTTGATGAAACGGGCATTCGATTCTTTCGAGATCGCGTTATTCCCGCGATATTTTCTAGGACACTGCAGCATCCACCACCACCCCTCCTTTCCCGCGCCAATGATCGCCACGGAGCTCTTCTCTTCCCTCGCAACCACGTTCTCTCGAAAATTTCTTCCACGATTCTTCCACGATCGATAAATCGTGGCAGATGATCGAATAATATTCCAACCGAGTGTTTTTCGAATTTCAACAATTGGAATTTATCCGATCGCGGGGACGACGAGTAACTTTAAAATTTTTCCTATTCATTATCATATTCGTTTCACGATATACTCGAGTTGAAATTGAAATGATCGTGGAATCACGTTTCCAATAATAAAAATGAATTCTCTCTCGAAGAATTATTTTTATCGAATAAGTATTTACCGATATCGATATCTAGTTTCTCGGGAATAAAGAATTCGACAATCCTTTCATTTCTATAACATACAAGAAATCCAAATACCTTCGCTTCGCTTCGTCGAATCTCTGTTTCCCCCTTCATCTAATTTGAATTACTCTCGAATTAAGCTAAGCTTCAACATCTTTATAACACCAACAGTATGTTTATTTTTCACCCTCGCAATTGATCTTTATAAAAAGATAGAGACGCGCGTGTGACTCGAATTTTAAAAAATTAGAATTAATCCGAACGAACGACCATCTTTTGGCGCGAATTAGCCGGCGTTTCTCGCCTCGTAAGGAGAAGATGTGGAGAGGGAGGAGGGAGGATTCGAGGTGTGAAAAATATTCGTATTCCGGAAACGGAAGGATCGGTTCCATGTAAATTGGCTCTCGCGGCCACGCGAATTATTACCTCGAGGGCGTGTCATGAACACTCTTCACTCTGCCCCCCCTGCCTCCTCTCCTTGCCCGACGCTTTTATCGAGTGGCTGTCGACTCGGCGGCCGATCGAACCCCGATCGAACCTCAACCCCTCTCTGCACACGATCCCACAGGGGAAAAACCACTTTATAGCCACTCTAGATTTAGCTGAAGGATTCTTCGCACGAGCTGATCGCGGTCTACCCTTCTCTCGATGACGATGACGATGATTTAACCAGTCCTCGTCACGTTTATCCAACTTCTGGCTAATTTGCTAGAACCTCTCCTCCTATTTTTAATTCACATTTTTGCGGTTCAAAAATTGTATGTACATTTTCGTTGTCGATGATAATTTTAATCTCGAAAAATTTTCAATTTTCGTTCGATATTAATTAATTTTAACTACTATCGCAATTTGGAAATTGCATTTAATTTTTGAAAATTGTGCCTTCGAAATTGGTGGTTCCAATTATCGAACTTGTTGTTGTTCCGTTGTTGTTGATTTTTCAATTTGCACAGAGGTGACTGTCAAATTTCGTCGGTGGAATTTCCTTGCCTAGGAAGGATATGATATTTTTTTGCGCGTTTTTTTTTTTTTTTTTCGTAACCTAACCTGAAATATCCACGACCATCGCGTGTAATTTAATAACGTCCCTTGCATGAAAATGCCGAAACTTCCTCCGCGCGTCTTCTTTTTCGCAAGAGAGCCTCGATGAAAATTTAAAGAGTTCCTCGAGGAAGGAAGAGGATTCGTCGAGCGGAGACGTCGTGCAAAAAAAAAAAGTTGATCATTCTCTAAACACGATTGCAACGTTTCATCTATCAAAGAAAAAAAAAAAAAAACGGCCAGGAACGAAAAGAAAATGGTCGATAATAAGAAGAACTCGTAATTTTCATTCACCATTGTTTCACCTCTCTTGTTTCAACTCTTTCAACACCATTCCATCGATCTCGAATCGCTCGAACGCGATTCCCATTTTTCTCCATCCATTATCGCGAATCGAATCGAATCGAATCGAATCGAATCGAATCGAATCGAATCGAATCGAACGCGACAGACACTTCACAACCATCTGTGCGTACGATTTAAACCAATTGAATTTTTATTTCTTTGGAAATTTTTCTTCTCTCCCTCTTCAACGCGCACAAAAATGGAATTTCATAAATTAAATTATACGATATTTCGTTAAAAAAAAGGGAACACGCGCGATCAAAAAATTGGCCGACGGTTTTTTCGACGGTCTCTCTTTACACGCGGGCAAATATCATTGACTTTCGTGTTTTTTATTCCTTCGCGTGGAAGGGGAAAATCGCGTTAACGATTCGTTTCGCTCGTTTTCGTACGCAAAAGTATGGAGGAGGGGGCTTTTTATGGAAATTAATCGAACGCCTCCTCTTTATTGGATCGTGAAACGCCGATTTTGCGATTACCGGATCGCGACTCGATTATTTATCTGCAATTTGGAGGGTGGAGGGAAAAGAGAGAGAGAGAGAGAGGATGGTGTTTAATCTCTCCGGGCTTTGAATAATTCTCCATCCCCCCTTTTGCCGTGCTCGTAAATTATGTTACCTTTATTCGCGCGTTAGTCACACGAATTTCACCCAACTTTTTCAAATATTTGAATTGCACCCTAACGAGACGAGAATTCGTTAAATATCGAAATACAGTTTTTTCGTCCGCGTATTAATTCGAAAACGAAGGATGGCCGATTTTTCATGGGACGAACGAAATTTTCTTCCGTTTCAAGAAAGAAAATTCTTCATGGTAGCTTAAAAACTAAGAGCCAACTTCTTTAAATTCCTAGTTGCTGATTAGTTCCATCTATTCTTTCAACGTGGCCAGTGATGGAGGTCAACGATAATCGGACAACTTTTAATCAACCCCTATCCCTCTCTCTCTCTCTCTCTCTTTTCGATCGTTTCGAGGCGATCTCTCTCTTCTTTTCCCGAACAACAATATCGTGAACTGTAGAACGAGAAACGCGAAACAATGTCGTTAAGGAAGGGAATAGAGAGAGGAAGAGAATAGAAGAAGTTCTGGTGACTAGAAGGTAGCCCGGTTAGAATTTAGAAAGTAAGTAAATACGGTCCACGGAGAAAACTCAATTTCCATTTCCCGTGGGAGTCCTTGCTTCCAGTAAAAGTATCCACTTCGCAGTCACGTTTCAACGTTGTTGTCGCCGTACACGTCCCGGTAATTCACTACCTGTCCGCGGTAACATCTTCTCTAAGAAATGACTTCTTACCATCCTCAGAATCGTCCAGATTCTTCCATGGGACCGATGAAAGATCGCCAGAATCTGTTCCGTGATTCGTTTACCTCAAAAGAAATCGAAGAGGAGCCGATATTCGCCAGAAACTGATCCAAATACGTAATAAAACTATTTACGTGTTTAATGTCGTTTACTTTCAAAACGAATCTTTCAAATAATAAATTTTATGGAAAAATCGCGTTATTCCCTCGATCTCGTCGAGTGTCATAATGCATTAATTAAAGAATCGATGAACTTCGTTATAATTACTCGTTGACTCGAGCCATCTAATACGTAATGCTTTATCAACCTCGGCCATAAATAATTTTTATCTCGATTCGAGATAAAACGACCAATTTTTCGGCAACAAATTAAAAAATTTCTACCAAACGAGGCTCAATTTATATTCTACCCGAGCAAACCCTATCTATTTAACCATAAACAAGGCGCAACTTTTAATTTATTTAATTACGCGTTCGAGAAGGCAACGGATTATGCCGAAAAATATTTCACCAACGTATGTTCGCTCGCCTGTTGATAAACACAACTTACGCGTGCCGGATGCAGCGCCTCCTACCTCGCCCCCTTCTTCTCCCCCCCACTCCTCCACGTTCGTTCGACGTCTGGAAAGAGCAGAACTTACCCGTGGGAGGAACGAACGCGAACAACACTTTCCACAATATCGTCACGCCGTGCATCAGATAGTCCAAGGTGGACGGCGCCGCCGATTCCCCGCCACCCTCGTCGTCCTCGTCGCCCCCGCTCACCGTCAGCGCCTCCGTGAACTGTTCCTTCCAGGAACTGGTACCTGTCAACGTTACACATTATTAATTCTTCCAATTTTCTTGCAGCTTGGAGAAACGATTATCCTTGGGAAATAAAGAATAAAGTGGATTTATTAGGGTATTGGAAATTATGTGGTATAAAATTAGGAGAAAGTTGTTTGATTTCAATCGCGTTGAATCGCAGCCAAGGAAAGAGGAATTTGGGACTCGTCGATGAACCTTTTTTTTTACCGCGTAAATTGTCTTGTTGACAATTTCTTATTTCTCTCTTTATAAATTAATTACGATGGAGAAGTTCGTGGATAATTCTTAAGAAAAGAAGGAAGCATTAGATTCTTTTTTTAGGGGAAGAGGGGAATTGAATTTCCCTCGTTGGTTAATTTATATCTTTCTCGTTGGATAATTGGCAAGGTTTCGACGCTGTAAAATAAATTCAGGTAACGAGATCGTGTGCCTGTGATAAAACGAGCTCGAATTTCGCGTAACGATTTCGATACAGGCAATAATTTCCACTTAACGTTTCAAAGCGTGCCACTTCGTTCGCTTCGTTCGAATGTAATTTTTCCTCGTTGAAGATTGTTCCAAAGGGCAACGCCTCGATCAATTATTCCCGTTATCAGCATGAGAGGAGGGTTGAAATGGAAACGAAATCACGAGGGAAGGGAGGAAAGTATCAAAGCTATGGTTATAAACCTAGAGAGGAGGATCTTTTTAATAATAAAATTCCGGACAAGTTATGCAACTTTCCTCTGTTCGGGTATTTAAGCTTTTTACCCTATTACCTGATCGATGTTTAGTTAAACGTTCGAAAAAAGCCTGCACGCCGCTTACTTCCAAAGAATACCTTTTACTTTTTTCACAACTCGACTCGAGAAACTCGACGAAATTTTAATAATTTTATAACCGTTTTATTTTAGGTTATTTTAGATCGTAAAAGTTTCCGTTATCTTCCTACATTTTCATTTTAAAAATCGTAAATTCAACGTACTACCGAGTCTTTTATCGTCGCGATCATGCTCGAAATTTATAGACAAATAAACACTCGAAGAGAATTCTCGACAAATTTCAAATATCAATCTTCATTCGAAAGCTTAATTACAACAAGGATAATCGTAATCGCTCGTCTGTGTGGAAAACACAACGAGTCGACAGTTAAAAAAGAGAAAAAAAGAAAAAGGAGATGGGAGAAGAATAAAACGTAAGAAAGAAAGAGAAACTATTAATTTGAAATCGCGATCACGAAAAGAAACGAGTTTCGAGGAAAGAAAAACGCTTGAACCGGTGTCAAACGAACGATAAAACTGGGATCTCGCAAGGACAGGTCTCGCAGGAGTTTGGCCGCGGATGTGGGTCACACAGTTTCTTGCGGAAAACGCGAGACAACCTTGCGACTCCCCCCTCTCGAAAGATTTAATGATTCGTTTCACGGATGGAAATCCTCGCTCTAGGAGAAGCATTTCGAAAAGATTTCCTCGCTTGTTCATTGTTGGATCCCCTCGCGTGAGATTACCAACGATGGTCAATCTCGCGAAACGGGTATTCCATCCCCATCGTGTTTTAAAAATCTTTTATTCTTTCGAACGGAGAGAGAGAGAGAGAGAAAAAAAAAAAGAAAAAGAAACGAAACGAGAGTGTACCGTAAGTGTTACGTGGAATTCTGCTCCATGATTTTTGAAGAGGAACGTTTCGTTATTCAAGAATTCAACGTTAATTACTTGGAGTAATTGAAAATTTTTTAAACGAAAAATTTAATTATTCCACTTGGGTTTTTTTTTGGGTTTAAATTATAATTCTTAATTTAATTACAATTTTGAATAAAGGAATCCATTCATGGATTTCCACGTTCAAGCCGTCAAAGGGACCCCAGATCAATGAATCTAATTCGTACGAAACTCAAAGAGAACTGATTCGAAAATCGTCTATCGTAAAATAAATGGAATCGAACGCATTAAAGGCGGTAGACCGACGGCTCGCACCTTTGAGTTTAAAATTAACTTGCCCGAAGGCAGGTTGGGGTGAGTGCACAAAGGATGCCAATTCTTTCCCTTCCCCCTTTGTCTCTTTTATTTTTCGACTCGAATAAAAACCACAAAGGGTCGTTCACTCGAAAACTTCCCAAGAAGAGTTCTCGCTAATTCTTGGATGAATTTTATCTTCGTTCGAGTAACACTTCGTTCAAATAAATCATGGCGGATAATTCGTTTAATGAACGAAATCTGAACGTGCTTGCATCTCGAAATGTTCCGAAAATTTGCATTCTTTTTTCTTTTTTTTGGCATCCGGTTGCGACTAGCGTAGCAGAAGTAGAATTTTTTTCCACAGATATTCCGACCTATTTTCGATATTTTTGCATTTTCGTTTTCTCTCTGTCAATGCTTAATCTGAATTTCAATACGGTGTTTCTACGGAGAGAAAAATCGCAACGAAGGGTTTGCTTGAAAAACAAGATCATTTGACAGCATATATATATACAAGGTTGAAATAATTTGTCACTTCACTTTTTCAACCGAGATAATGACGAACGTTGGACGCCTGTCAAAATTATGACGTTGCACGATTTCCAAACAAGATTCAATGAGGAGCTGGAAATCCTGAAGGAGGTCGAGATCGCGAGGAGAGACAGATTCCAGATTCCAGGAATCTACTTCCACGTGTGGATACGCTTTGCGAATTTACATTTAAAGCGGTCGCGCCGAGTAAGTTCTCGATGGTAAGTTGCAGTGCTACACCGAGTGCACAATTTCGCGGTATACGTCTTGAATCGAAATCGTTAGAGGAAAATTCGCTTACTCGGTGTGAATCTCTTTATCGGATAATTTCATTAACGACAGAGGTAAATTTGCCGTATCTTGTCATTCTTGGAATTATCGCGAGTAAAACTTATCATATGTATATATGTTATTGTTAAAGATAGGGAATTTGGCAAACGGATTATCATCTTTTTTTTTTTTTTTGCGAAGAAAGATGGAATTTAATTGTATAAAATAAATAAACGTGAATTGATCGATATTATTGTACGTAAGCTATTGTACTGATATTCCTTCATATATTCCATCAAAATATGAATATAAATCAAAAAAATGCGATCCTGAAAAAATTGAATTCAATTATTATACTCGAGGATTCTGTTAGAAGAAATTCCTTCGTATATTCCAATATAAAATAATGGATAAAATTAAAATATATATCCGGATAAAATTAAATACAGAAACGTAGACACACATTAAAGAAATGGTTCAGTACACGAGGGTTAAGTGATTTATTCGAGGGAAAATGCAACTATTCCGTCCTTGTACACGCGCGTGTAAGGGAGATCCGTGATGGTTGGTTCATTTTACTGGACAGTTAGCTGGTATATCTGGAAACACGCGTTCTACTTTATGCTTGACCTAGCACGAGCATCGTTCTTCAATTACGACGCGTAATCGAATTTGCTACATACGTAGATCCCGGTATCGTTCGTTTCTTGAGCACAGCCACTTGACGAGAACGATATCGAGGACAATACTGAGATGTAGCAAAATTAATGAAATGATGGTTTATGGTGCTATTCAGCAATTGTCTTTAGGGGTAGAATAACGTCGAGTTGTAATTGCGAACATCGGGTATTATCGGGTATCGTCGGTTAACATCGGGCAACGTCGAATAATATCGGCTAATATCGGACAATATCGCGATACGAATATCAGGCAAGCGTATTAGATCTCCAATAAGATTTAAAGTTTTCGATTAATTTCGTTGCTCGTAGCTTCGTTCTTAACATTGTTCACGAAAAATTGCATTGGAAAGTGATTTCTCTTCGAAAATTTACGACGCAAAAATAATTTTCTTCGCTGTGTTTCGATACTATATTGATACTTGGGATCGAAGTTAAAAATAAAAATTGAACGGTCTTAAACTGAATTCGAACGAGGTTAACATTTGGAATTCCATTTGAATTTCATTTTCATTTCAACTAGCAAGCGTAATGTTATCTTGCAAACGTCCAGCGCGATTATATAAACATTCCGGAATATGGTGGCTGCGGCGGGTTAATAATACCTCGAAATTTATTTGAATACGTTAACGACCGTAGCAAACTAAGCGACCGTGGGAAAGGATCACGGGTTAATTTCCCATTTTGCTTCCATTTAACTTTTACGTTACTCCATCAGCCAAATTCTTCGATCCCTCTTTCGAACCTTATTCTTAATTCAATCCAAAACGAAGGAACGAAATAAAAATTCTTCCATCCGCTTTAAACTTTAACGATATCATCACGAAGCATCTTTCACGGGTTGACAAACGCTCGAGGATTCGCCGTGACATCAAGGCTCAATCGCCTCGAACGGCAATGTCACGCTCGAGCGCAATTCCACTCGCGGAATTAGATCGGACAGGAGGGAGGTGAGCTCGATTAACGAAGATGTCCCCCGACTCGATAGACACATTGCCAGCCAATAAATCAATCGGAAACGCGCCACGGAATTCCCTTTCTTTCCTTTGTCTACCACTTATTCCGGGGTGCAAAGTCGATTCCCCTCATCTGGAGGAATCCATTAATTTCGACGGTTCCCTCCCTTGTTTCGTTTTTCCTTCCTCCTCCCTATTCTTCCCACCCCGCCTCCGAATTTCCATCGAGCGAAACGTGAATTCGAACTCGTCTCGAGGCAGGGCGAGCGAACGAGAGGAAGGGGGAAGCTACACCGTTCGAAAGGAAGACGCGTCATCGTGGCGCAAAGAAGGCGTGTCCCCGGCGATTTTCTTCTCACAAAAGGGTGGATGCAAACCGTGAAATGCAAAACGGGCGTCGAACAAAAGGAATCTCGCGCGCGACAGAAGGATGCCGGTTCACCAGCCGACGCTGCAGTTCCTTCTCTCAACTTTCGCTCTCAACCCCTCGTTCCCGGACTTACCGGACTTTGCGTTAACTCAACCCCCTTTTCAACGATCTCCTCATCCCTCTTCTCTCTCTCTCTCTCTCGCTCGCTCTTGCTTGCGACAGGATCCAAGTTTGGAACTCAATATAACGGGACAGTGATCTCGAATGTAATATCAACCATGGAACAAGTGAAATGGAGCAGAAACGAAGTAGCTCTTTCACTGTTGTGCCTCCTCTTTACGCGTTGTAATACATATGCAATACGATGCAGTTACGAAGCTGGAGGATTAAAGGTGATTAAAAAGATTGGAAGAAGAGGGGGGAGAAAATAATACGAATTCTCTCGAAAACTTCGTTTTGCTCGAATTTCGTTTACCGACCCGGTAATCCAACTTCAAGATGGTTTTAACGGGACAAGTTTGTGCGTTTACCCGCGCAGAGTGTTTAGATTTTAATCTCTCTCGATGTTTTAATCTCGTTTGAATATTTTTCTCGTCCCCGTGTCTCTGATTCTGAAATTATATATAGATAGAACGGATGGAGAGAGGTTCGTTTGTTTACGAATTAAAATGAACGAAAGATGGACGAAATATCGACAAAGAAATTAAAAAGAAAAATTCAATCAAACCGGGTAAACGATCATCTTTGGATAATAGTTAATCACAAACGAATTGTGTTTCACAGATCAATCGAAATATTAATTTTTAAAACGGATAATGGGTTAAGCATGAAACAATTTCTTTTTTTCTTTTTAAATTATAAAATGTTTGTTCGCGTTTTAAAAATTAAATATAGAATTTTCCTCTAATTCCTCGTTTCCATATTTAATCGACAGATGTACAGAGGGTCACAAACACGAGCGCGATTAGCGTCACGTATGGCTGTCCATTCCGACAGGCTGTGCAAATATTAGGATTAGGGAGAAGGTACTTTCGCCAACGATGCGGATAACTCGATTGGCCACGATAGTCCGATCCAGCTGACGGAAGAGATTTTTCTCGACCTTTTTCCGGCTTAGACCGTGTGGCCGATTCTTTCTTCTCCAAAAGCAATAAGCCGTACATTATTGGATTCTATTAGCCAGGAAATATATAGATAATTTCTTATCGCCATGTTCTCTTTCACTCCGTTTAATCGGCACAAATAACATGGAAATAAAGAGATAAGAACGAAGATAAAAATCTTGGAGGAGGGGGAGATCAAATATTGAGATAAAAATCTCATCCTCTTGCGTATTAAATGTTTAACAAAAAATGTTTAAAAAGAGAGAGGAATGAGGAATCCAGGCCGAAAAAGAAAAGTTGCTAGAAATGGGTGTATTCTTCCTTCTAATTGTTCTTCATCAAATACAGTCTTAAGCGTGATTCCGTTTGTTTCCTTTCGCCAGTGGAACAGCTTAACAGTTTCTCAGCCTGTCCTGTTTTAATCAAGGCTTGTTCACGGGCAAATTTACACTCGAGTGGTACAATAAGGAGGATTTGAAGTGGTGGATAATGCAGGTGGAAAATAAGAGAGGACGAGAACCGGCTGAAATGATAAAATGCTGGAGGATCAAGGAAGAAAACAGGCTGTCTCGCCTGTTAGAGGGAATAAAGTAGCGTCGGAGGGACAAGAATCGAGTTCTCGAGCGTTCCATCTTGTAAAAAGTCCCTTTTAAAATAAGCGGAACGAGAAGTTAATTTTCCAAAATTATGCAGAAATAAAGGTATAAACGACGAGAAAAGTGGAAATCGTCGGCGAAGAAGAGAAGAGCGAAGACAAAGAGAAAAAAGATCTTTTAAAAAAAGGTCTTTTAAAAAAACTTCTTCTTCGTCGCTCGAACAAGTCTGAGGAAAGTCTCGAGGGAATTTTAAAAAAAAAAAAAAGTATCGACTCACCAAGCAGTATAGAGGCGTTGGCCCTTTGCACCAGTTTGTCCACGGTATTCTTGAACTCCTTCGACTCTTTGATCCGTATCTGTGCCCTGAACACCTCGCCCAACTTCGGTTTCCCGAGCAACGCCATTTTTTCCTCGGCGGTGCGCTCCTCCGGCTGCTTCATTTCCGCCGCTACTGCGATCCCTGCCTCGGCTGAAAACAGATCGCACAGACTCTCTGATTCAAATAGTTTCACCCAATGTTCGAGAAAAATTCTACCATTGCCGAATATATGGTCGAAACTTGTGGCCGTTATGCGGAGAAAACGAAAGGTAAACTCGAAATTCTTGTTCGAGTTGAATACTCGTTCGTTGAATTAAAAACAAGAGCGAGCGAATTTCATCGAACGACAACGATTACAGAATGCAAAGAAAATCAATTTCTTCGATCATTTATAATGGCCGATCTTCCCTCTCCCCCCTATTTATAAATTATATACCCGTGTGCAAAACACACCAGGCTCCAATGCTAATTCCGTTCGCCAAAGTCTGACCATATATCGGCTGTCACCACTTGAGCGTCAATTTTTATCGATACTTACTACTTATACGCATATAAGCTCGTAGCTAATTCTAATTCTCTAGCATGAATTACGTTACGAATCGTCAATTTTTACGGTGTATATAATACCTCTGAACCTCTATATTCCCCTTCTTTCCAAGCCTTTGCTTCATTTTCGTTTCGCGCAAATATATTCGAACGTACATTCGCGCGTGTATCGTTGAATAAATATCGGGTAACGCTCTTTCCCACAAGAAGATATATCGTTCCGCAATTAAATTGATAGAGAGAAATTGGGAATACAAACGGATACTTATAGGGGATGTATTTCACGTTCTAATCGAGCAACGATAGTCTTTTCGAACACTGATTTTTGCAGATATTCGCAGAAATGAATTTCACGGGAGATTTCGACCTGAAGTTGGGCGAATTTTCGAAACGAGAGTTCTAAATATTCTTCTCGTTAGCTTCTAGTTCAGATAGCCGGATGGAACAAAATCCACCATCGAATTCCAATGTGCTCTCTTTTATTCTTTTTTGTTATTTTTTTTCTCCCCATTCTGTCTCTCTCTCTCTCTCTCTCTCTCTCTCTCTCTCTCTCTCTCTCTCTCCATCCATTCATCCCTTAATTCAATACAAGTTCCCCGATGCAACCGAACTCATTTCCTCCGTGACGTGAAATACGATCGTTTGCGTGTGTACACGATTCGCGTATCGGGCCGCGTACGAGGGCGAATGCATTTATCATCGGCTAGAATGCACATGAATGCACATCGGTTCGAAAGATTGTCATATCGATTTCGGCGCGTGTTGCGTCACGGAGGATTTTTTTCTTCCTTCTTTGCGGAGAAAAATATCGTAGGGAAAGGAAGAAGAGACAGCTGTTTTTTTTTTATCGTGGAAACAAGGTTTTTAATTAACGATTAAAAATTTTAAGCGTTTTGTATATATATATATATACAATTATATATATTAATATATATTAATATATATATATTAATTACGTTGCATTGTAATTTGAGCAAGAAAATTTGAGAGACGTTTTATCGGCGATGGTTGGCTTTCCACGAGTTTGATTAAATAATTAAAAATCTATGCATCTCTTTGTATAATGTTGAATATCTTTAAGGAAGAGACAGCGACTCGATAGCACATCTACTGCACGTTTTATCTTTTTTTACAGAAATTTATGTTTTATTTAGCAGCTCTGTGCATCCCCCTCCCCATTTGTTTGGATATTTCATTGTTCATGTATCCGAGTAAAGGTGGTGAGCGAGGAGATGAAAAGTCATGCGTTCATGATTTATGAATTTAGACTTGGAAATGAAGGAATAGGTACGGAAAAACTCATTTGTGCTTGTGGAAATGTCGCGCGACTATCGTACATTTATATAAATTTATAGAAGGAGAAGAATTGTAGAAACAAACGATGATGAACATTTTTAAATAAAATACGTTTTCGAGAAAATTTACTCGAATTCGTTTCCCTATCATAAATCAGCGCGAACTTTACACATTTTTCTTTTTTTTTTTTTTTTAGATAGGATTAATAAGATCGCGATATTGGAAACAAGCGTAACACGTTTCAAAATTTCTCTGCAAAATTTCCCGTTGTTCTATTTAAGTCGTTCCATAAACGGAGCAGGAAAGAAAAATTCGTACATAAACTTCGCGATTTTACGGCTGATGTTTGTTGGAAAGTTCCCAGAAGGCTCGAACGAGGCTTTTCGTTCCACGTTAATTCGATTTACCTGTTACTACTTGTTCTCTCGATATCTATCTCCTTTATTTAAGGGAGAACGCCTGTTCAGATGTTTGATATCGTAGATAACTATTACACAAGCGGAAGTGCACGGGGATCGAACACTATCACGCAAATCCAGGATAATCGATGGAGAGTTTACCGAGCAAACAACCGACACGCGATTTACAAGACTGATTGTCCATTTTGCAACGTGATGGACCGTCCGATATTTGCTCCACGTCGATTGTTTTGTATCCAAATTTTTACCATATCGATAAAATAATCGGCTACGAACATTTTCACCATTTAACGATTTAAATTCACCATAACAATTCTATTCAATTCAATTCAATTCGTGAAATTTTCGTACGATATTAAAAAATATATATAATGCAATTATAAAAATATCGATTTAAGATAGAAATTATGGAGAGAATAGAATTGAACGGACGAGTTGTTTTAAAAAAATTTTACAAGTATTAAGACGATAAATTCGAATGGAAACCAATTGTTAAATTTTTATTCCGAGGCATGACTCGGTGTCGTTCCATCCGTCTACATCCTTTTATCCATCTTCTTCATCCCCTGAACTCGAACGAGACTTCAATTTTTCGCCACTTTCATCCCTCGGAACGTGGTAATTCAGATAAAATTCTTCGAATTCTCGTTTCATCGGTTATTCTATCCGGCTGGACTTTCTTCCTCTATTCTTTGAAAATAATATTTTTCTCGTCGTCTTGTCTTGTCGTCGAGACGGACGAAGTGATTAAAGACACGCACCACGTTATATTGACGTTCGAAAGATCGATTTTACGTCATCCACAGTCTATCTGTTCGACGACTATATTTAAAATGTCTTTTCTTTTATATTACCAATATAAGCAAAAGTTTGAACTCTCTTCAAAAGAATCTGATTAATATTATTAATTATATATGGAATAAAATTTTATCGATGAATTTTCAATTTTGATTTTCTCGCGCGAGAAAATTATTCTCTTTCCTAGACTTATTTCTACACGACTAGAATTGACATACTTCTTTGCGAAACATTCCGCCACAAATTTCTATATAAAACGATCATTGTAAATCTAACGTTTTAGATCAATTGATCAATTTCCTGTCAAAATAATTATACGAGTAAAGTTTTGTCTAGAAATGACAATATATCTATCGAGATGTATGTAATCGAGGAAAGTTTACGATATTGAAAAAAACGGAGTAAAAAATATAAGATCTGTTTATATCAAGACCTCTCTGACAGCTTTTGTGTCAGTTATATCTTGCAACGTGATTTCAAGGAATTTGCACATATTTTCCTATACGCAAAGGGCTCGAAATTCCGTCAAATCTCAGCCGAAATATTATCCCATTCGCGGCGGCTTTTACCATCATCCTCGTTCCTCGAAGAAATCCTTTTTATCCCGTTGAAAAAGCTCGCATCGCGCGCCCCGAAACCAATCCCCCCACGAATCTGATGTATCCTCGAATTTTTCGGTTTCGAATTCGATTTCTCGCGTGTTTTTCTTTTTTTTTTTCTTTTTCGTCCATGGCCTCGACATCGATTCCCGACAACGGAACTTCCGCTTTGCTTCTCCGTCCTCTCGAGTTCCATCGAGAGTTTCGCTGCAAGACGATTCACGAATCGTTGATTTCATTGCCCTTTCCACGTTCACGGCTCGACGACGTTCACGGATCTCGAGAGGTAACGAACTCGTTTCGTTAAAGGTTGCTCTTCTCCTTGCTCGGTTATCACCATACAATCGAAAAATAAAATGCTCGTTGCAGCCCCTTTCCAGCTCGTTTACAGCTCTCTCGTATGTCACGATCCACAGTCAAGTTATACGATGATCAATTTCTTTCTTCTTTAAAGGTCACAACAGTTGTTCTCTCGGATCGTTAATTTTATCGTAAAATCAAGAGAGAGAGAGAGAGAGAGAGAGAGAGGTGAAAATCTTCGTCGAGATCCAAAGTTGAAATCAATCGACTTCTCATCGAAAGCAAGAACTGCTCCTCGATCAATCGTTGCCACGTGAAAATGAGATTGTAAAAGAAAAAAGAATCATCCTCATTATTTGGCTTGTACACTTTACACAGATCGAAAGTGTACAGTTATTAAACATCGAATATCGTGAATCGCGTTTGTTTAAATATAATCGATAATTTAATTTCAACAAATTTACCATAATCGCTCGCTTTTTATCCAATTTTTCCTTCCACTTTCCAACACTCTCGTTTAATAAATCGATTCAACATCGAACCATGGTGCACAACGATGCGATTCTCCATCGTTCCATCGACTTTTCCACGAATCTTTGAAACGTATCTATATATGTATTCCGCGTATCATCCATCGTCTCCCAATTTATCCCAAACCACGTTGAAACACGATCAGAGGAACGTAACGCCTATTAGACGGAATAAGCTTCGAAAACAAAGCTCTGGCAGCAAACATTTGAGCTCCGTTATTTACGAGCAATGGTTGTAAACGCGTTTAATCGCGTTAGAAATGTCAGCAGCCTAACATCCGGCCTCAACGTGACCCAGAAACGCTTCTATTTATCATCCTTTTGGAACGTGCAACCCTTCCCCTGCACTAGGGAATTCTACCTTCCCTACAAAAACACAACAATCCTGCAATAATTCGGGTGAAAATAGAACGTCGTCGAATATCGTCGAGAATTTTAAAAGTTTCTTCCTCTCTCATTTTTTAGAGAGAGAATAAATAAACAAAGAAAAATGTGCTTTCGATGAGAAGTCGATTGATTTCAACTTCGGATCTCGACCAAGTCAATCAAAGATTTTCATTTTCTCTCTCTCTCTCTCTCTCTCTCTCTCTTTCGATTTTACGATAATAGAGAAAAATTAACCATCCGAAGGGACAATTGTTGTGACTTTTAAAGAAGAAAGA